GTTGTTAACCCGGGCCTCGACCGATCCGGTATGGAAATCGTTTTAGTGATTCGCATATTTGATTTGGCTAAACGTTTTATGCTGGATGCCCTTCCTGACGCAACCCTCACCATTTATCCGGGCTTGGGACCGGCACTATAAAACACTGATACGTGTACCCTAGTGGCTGGTTTTTAAGTAAATACATGTGTATTTATAAATAACGATTTACGTACCAAACTGTGGCTCCCATGTAATTATGCTCAGGGTTGAAACAGATAACCTTAATTAAGAGTATTTATATTTGGGTGTAGTAAATTTGTATTAGTATAGTAACTCTCCTCTTACTCTTTGCAGTAAGTACTGTATTTTCTGAACTATGTTGCTCCAGAGTATTTGTCTCACCAACCAAAAATGCATAATGAGGAAGAAAAAAACATTTATGAGTCGCTCCAGGGTATAAGTCGCACCAGTGCCCTCTAGCTGCAGTCAGTGTGAAATGAATGAACATGTACATTTTCAGTGGAACAGGAGTAGCAGATACTGGTACACGAGCCTAGAGTTCCCTTTGGTGGCTGTCAGTGTGAAAATAACAAGTGTGAAATTTCTATATATGTCGCACCTGAGTCTAAGCTGGCCACTAACTAACATTTGCCTGGTCATGATCACTTATGGTGCTGTAGGGGAAACACTGCCCTGCAGTAGAGTCATTAGCATGTGAACTAAAAAAAAGCTATCATCATGTGTCTGGATGTTCTTACATTGTTCTTATTCACAGAGGACATGATCAAGGTTTTCTTCTGCAGTTGTGCTATGCAGACAATACTATGATGTTCAGCAAATATATCTAGATTTACACAAATCAGACACTAATATACCCTGACCAGAGGATGACCTTTCACCTTGGATGACTTTTTTGGCGATGACGTTGACAATAAGCGTGCAACAGGACTCCACGTAAAAGGTTCCGGGCTCAGCAATGAGCCTAACGCCACTGTCAGCAGGGAAATATTTGTCCAGAGCTGGGTTGATCACAGCTGTGATCTAAAGAGAATAGGAATAAGACGTAAAATCTGTATGTATATATATATATATATATATATATATATATATATATATATATATATATATATATATATATATATACATACAGATTTTACGTCTTATTCCTATTCTCTTTAGATCACAGCTGTGATCAACCCAGCTCTGGACAAATATTTCCCTGCTGACAGTGGCGTTAGGCTCATTGCTGAGCCCGGAACCTTTTACGTGGAGTCCTGTTGCACGCTTATTGTCAACGTCATCGCCAAAAAAGTCATCCAAGGTGAAAGGTCATCCTCTGGTCAGGGTATATTAGTGTCTGATTTGTGTAAATCTAGATATATTTGCTGAACATCATAGTATTGTCTGCATAGCACAACTGCAGAAGAAAACCTTGATCATGTCCTCTGTGAATAAGAACAATGTAAGAACATCCAGACACATGATGATAGCTTTTTTTTAGTTCACATGCTAATGACTCTACTGCAGGGCAGTGTTTCCCCTACAGCACCATAAGTGATCATGACCAGGCAAATGTTAGTTAGTGGCCAGCTTAGACTCAGGTGCGACATATATAGAAATTTCACATTTGTTATTTTCACACTGACAGCCACCAAAGGCAACTCTAGGCTAGTGTACCAGTATCTGCTACTCCTGTTCCACTGAAAATGTACATGTTCATTCATTTCACACTGACTGCAGCTAGAGGGCACTGGTGCGACTTATACCCTGGAGCGACTCATAAATGTTTTTTTCTTCCTCATTATGCATTTTTGGTTGGTGAGACAAATACTCTGGAGCAACATAGTTCAGAAAATACAGTACTTACTGCAAAGAGTAAGAGGAGAGTTACTATACTAATACAAATTTACTACACCCAAATATAAATACTCTTAATTAAGGTTATCTGTTTCAACCCTGAGCATAATTACATGGGAGCCACAGTTTGGTACGTAAATCGTTATTTATAAATGCACATGTATTTGATTATAGGAGCGTGCACGGTAGATCTGGTATCCACGCTCTCTTCTTCTTGTTTTGCATTAAAGCCGTAGCAGGGACTTGAATTGCTTCAGTGATGTGTGAATATCGCCCCCCACAGACACATGGTGATATGACCACACATAACGTGTAATCTTATTTTTGCAGCAGTTTAATAACATTTCATGTCTCCACAGAAAAAAACAAAGAGACCAGTGACAGGAATCTGGTGTACTATGTCAATGATGGATTACACACATCTTTCCTGCTAAATATCTTTAAGTTTCATTATATTTTGCCAAGACCACACAGGGTAACACTAAAACTAAGTTTAAAAAGTAACTGTCACTCTTTTTTTGTTAAGTAGTAAATCTAATTATGACCGTCTCTCTTTATGCCTCCAGAAAATAAAGAAAGATGAAGTCTTTTTCCGCTGCTGTATCTGGGGCCAAACATGTAGCAGCAATGACATCATTTCTGAGCGCTGTCACCTGCCTGAACTTCAAGTGGGGGACTGGCTGCTCTTTGAAAACAGGGGTGCCTATAGCTTTGGTTTGTCTAGCACATTTAATGGATTTCCAAAACCTTACATCTATTTCACCATGCCCCACTCTGCTCAGTTAGTCACACAGTAACTTCATACATCATATGTTATACATATGTCATACATTTATACATTTTATATTTCTTCATTAAGATTTGTCTGGTGTTGCGCTTTGGCCCAAAGGCAGTGTCTGTCATTGGTGTGGAACCCCAGGGTTCACCTCCTGGGCAAGATCCAATCCCTGTTAGGGTGGTTGGTACCTTCCAGTGGACTCACCACCCGCAGGAAGGTTCAGGGGGGTTGGTGCGGTGCAGTGTGATTTGGGTGGTGGTCATGGAGACTGCTGTCCCCGTGACCCGGTAACGGATAAGCGGATGAAAATGGGTGGATAATATTTTTCAAGCTTTGGGATTTATACCTGCAGTACACTTCAGAACCCCAAGAGGGCTCTCTTTATTTTCTAAATAACCAAAGAATATTGTACAGCTGTTTGAACTGGGAGAAAACATATGCACAACGCTGTTTTAAATTTCACAAAGGAATGCTTATTGACACGTCTCTATTGTGTGGGGAAATTAAGTACTTAAAAATGTACTCCAAACTGCTCCACTTTGTTAGTGGATTTGGAGAAACAGCACGCTGTTAAAACACGGGAAAGTAAAAATTCATTATCATTGAAATTATATGTATTGTATTGTGTATATGTACTGTAAGTGAGTTGGATTAAACAATGGCTCACACAAGCTCCTGTTTGTTACTTTCTAAATCTTGAAATCAAATTGTGTGAAATATTACTTTATATTACGCCTCAGAACAACTTTTTCATGACTTTTGTTAATGCCTCACTATTAATGTAGAAGAAAGATTCCAGGTCTTTATTGTTTCAGCCACAATTTCAAATATTATTATGTTGGTTAAGCCCATGACTCATGAATCTCAAGGATAAAAACAAATGAACAGAACACCAAACTTATAGCTACTGTAGCAGCTCCACAGAGACTGTGTCCTACACTCTCTCTGACTGGGACGGACCTTTAGTTCCCCACACCCTGTAGGAGGGAGACTGGATCCCAGCTTATAAGTTGGCTGTATGTAGCTGCAGCATTGACTTAGAGATATTATTTGGGGGCAGAATGACTTCAGCAATTCCGGCACTCTTTTTCTGCATTTTGGCATGTGGAGCTGTGGGACCACTGTCACAACTTCCTAGGAGCGTCCTGTTAAAGAGAACAGTGAGCTCACAAGTTTCCCCTCAGGTCAATGCTAGGCTCTACCAGCACTTCGACACTACCCAATCTGTAGAACAGACGTCTGCAGAATTCCACAGCGTTGAGAGTTTTCAGCAGCAAGTTGGTGAGGATTTGATGAAGCAATCCTTGCTGCAGCTTCCACAGAACAGTTACAGCAATATCCAGGCACAAGAACGGTGGAAGAGCGAGATTACAGGTTGGCATGGTTCTTTATGCTACTATAATTTAAAAAGTGGAAGACAAAAAATTTAAAAATTGTGATTTTTCAAAATGAATTATCATTTCGTTATCATTGTCATTAATCCATATTTTTTTAAATGTATTAATTAATTCATCTACTAATACTCCTAACACTATCTATCTGTCTATCTATCTATCTATCTATCTATCTATCTATCTGTCTATCTATCTATCTATCTATCATGATATAAAGTTTTTTAAACGTTACTTATTAAATCACACCAATTATGATTTGAAACAATGATTGCAAAATAGCATTCACATGTACCATTTAATACACAGTATTAAAGGCATGTACCCTGTAAATACATTTGCCATAATTCCTATTGCTAATTTTTGGTGCATTTTGTGCAGGCATGGGCAAATGGTGGCCCGGGGGCCAGATACAGCCCATTAGGCTTTTCAATCCAGCCTGATGAACAACTCCAAATTAGTGGCATTAACAGAATTAAAATAACTTAATAACAAATAATAAAAAAGAATGAACTGTTCCTCTCCACATGTACATTTATTCTATTCCACTGGTCCAATAGTGCATGTGTGTGTGAGTGGTAAAAGATTGTGTCTGAGCACACTGACTATCACCTATCTAAGTGACACTTCTTCCAGTTCCTTTATCATCAGTGGTAAAGCTGTAAGCAGTAATTCAGGACTGTATCACCCTCATACAGGTCCAGACCCGTCTCCAAAGGTAAATGATCTGACATCATGGTGGCGACACAGAGCTGTACCTGTTACATCCATGCAGTCTGCAGAAGACACAAAGGTTTTTTTCAGCGCTGCAGCTGCAGGTAGTTGTTGATGATATGTTGTCATTTGTCTCCTAGAATAACTTGGTCATATGACCGTAAGTGTTTTTAATAGGAGCTATTTTGTTGAACTAGAAAATTAATAATAAGACATGAAATATAGATAATTTCTTATGGTATTCACACAGTTAACTTTATATATATACGTATGTATATATAATAAGTGATTGTGAATGGAAAAAAAGTCCTAGTTCTTTTTACCTGGTCCAAAGTGATCAGATGACACCAGCAGATGTCAAGTAGTAATTGTCATCTCAGTCGTCTTCAGTCCTTGGTGAGCAGTTTATCAATAGGAAATGTATCAGTTATTTTACATATATATAAAGCAGATAGAATTTTAGTTAGATAAGCATTTTGTGAAGTGAATTTAAAAAACCAAAAGGTTTTCCTTTGTTTTTGCAGCAACAAGGTCAAACTGCAAGAATCGACCCATAGACCTGGTCTTTATTCTAGACAGTTCTCGCAGTGTTCGTCCAGCTGAGTTTGAGAAGGCCAAGGAATTCCTACAAGTTGTGGTGGACAGTTTGGAAATTGGGTCTGATGCTACACGGGTAGCTCTTGTCAACTATGCTAGCGCAGTAAAGATTGAGTTCCTGCTAAGCACATATTTTGACAAGTCTGCCCTAAAGCAGGCACTAGCCCAGGTTGATCCCCTTGCTTCAGGTACCATGACAGGCCTGGCAATTAAGACTGCAATGGAGAAGGTTTTCACAGCGGAAGCGGGGGCCAGAGTCAACTCTGGCGACATTGCTAAAGTGGCTATCATAGTGACAGATGGACGCCCACAGGACAGGGTGGACGACGTGGCAGCCGCAGCTCGTGCTTCTGGTATTGAGATGTATGCAGTTGGAGTGGACAGAGCTGACATATTGAGCCTTCGTCTGATGGCCAGCCAACCACACGACGACCATGTCTTCTACGTGGAGAACTACGGTGTGATGGAGAAACTCACGTCTAAGTTTAGGGAAACCTTGTGCGGTGAGGATGTCGATCACAGAAGTGCAGAAACCACAGAGGATGGTGGAAAGGGTAATAATGGACTAGGTGACGGGAAAAGGAATAATGTTATGTAAACATATTGTTATGTAAGTGAGTGCCACATTTTCTACTTTGTCTACAGAATGTACTTACAGCCACCGTGCTGTGAGTACACAATTCTATTAGCCATCACTTCCACAGTTTCTGCATCATAAATAAACAAAAATATACAGTGAAATATTTTTTCAGTAAATTAAATGTCACCACGTTTATTTTCAGGATTGGACGCTTGTGCAATGGGAAACAACTGTCAGCATATATGTGTGAGCAGCAGAAGGTCATATTACTGCAAGTGTCGCTCAGGCTATGTCTTAAACCAGGACAAGAAATCCTGCTCACGTAAGATCCTTCATTTAATCATCACATTATTGTATGTTTATATGCACACAAGTAAGTCGCTGCTGAAAATTGTTTGATTTCTGCTATGTGAATCTGTGTTCATTAGAGGATCCAATAGAATACAGATGGACTGCAATTGGTTGTCTCATGCAGTGCTTTTCAAAGCAGGGCCCACCAGGGAGCGCTAGAGGGCCTCAGGAGATTAGAGGGAAGATAAGAAAAAAAAATATTTTACTTTATTTATTTCATTTTTTCTCCTGAACTATACAATACATAAAATCAGTAATGAGTATGAATTCAACGATGGTACCTGAACGCACCTTGTGTGACAGCTGCAAATTTATAATGTGACATTGCTGACAGAGAGCGTCTCAATTTAGATTAGGTTAGCTATGACCAGGGACAGTTTGCAGTGCGTGTATCACTAGTGGAATACGTTTACAATAACACAAACGTGCACCTAAAACATTGTGTGTACTATACATTATATATTTTCACATTAATGTCAGTGAGTAAGACATTAACTGATGCAAATACAATAAGATAAGAATTTATTATTTTGTGATTTTTAATACTTTGCATTGAACCCAAAACCTTCTGGTAGTGGGCAGAAGACGAGTCGACAAGTCTCACCATAGAATGGATCATTTTAAAAACATATCTTTTCTCTAATTATGTTTTTTTTTCTGTAAACATTTGCGGTTTCAGTGATAGATATGTGTGCCCAGGGACACGACTGCCAGCACATTTGTATCAACAGCGGTGACTCGTACATCTGCAAGTGTAAAGTGGGTTATGTCCTGAACAGGGATAAGAAAACATGCTCAGGTGAGAGTTTTACATTGCAGTTCTAAATGTGTAGTGCACTGACATTCTGGAAATGATAACTGATGAGTGTTAGTCATGGGGTCAGCTGTTTCAGGCTCAGATGTATGCGCTCAGGGACATAACTGTCAGCAGGTTTGTATCAACAATGGTGATTCCTTCAGCTGCAACTGTCGAGTGGGATATGTGTTGAACGCAGACCAGATCACATGCTCAGGTAGGCCTTTGTTTTGGTCCAGTTTGAACAAAGATGTTATTTGTTCTGGATTTAGTGTATAAGGGGTCCTCGGTTTACGGTGTTTCGTGGTTACGTCGCCATCTCCCATGAATATGTATATTAAGACAATCTTGTTCCATCATCCCAGTGTAAGCCATTACATATAAATATGTGTAATAGCTTACATATATTTTACAGGGTGTCCTCTACTCGATGTTGGGGTTTGGTTGCTACTGGTGATGTAATTAGAATTTTCAGACTAAGTCAGAACTTGCATACAATTACATATTATATATCACAAAATTTGCAGGAAAACCTAATCTGTTGGCCAGGAAACTCTTGCTTCTACATGGAGTTAGTCACAGCGAACAGCAGTGAAGACCACACGGAAAGTGTGCTGTTAAATTCTTTATTGTCCTCTAACCTTCCACCTCAGTAATGAGACCGCTCCACTGCATTGTAATCACAGTCGATTTTATAGGAACACATCTGTTCACATGCTCATCTATACACTTTTTATCGCCGGTGATCATGGAGACAGTTGTACGACCTAGATCAAGCAACTCCCGATATTCGTCAGTGTTGTGACCTTTTCCCAGCGTTTAATTATATTAATTTAATTGAACCGTTCAAAGGTAAACGTAGCTATCTTCATCTTGATGGAATGGTGGCACAAGACTTTCTTAACAGTTGTATACGTAGAGGTTGCGGTGACGTCATAACCTGAGGACTCATTATAAGCTCCACTTAGAAAATGCTAAAAATTGGGGAGTGCGGTGTATGCGCACTCCTGTAAACATTTATTTAACACAGTAAATAAATAACTTCCTTTAAACCATGTGATAATATTTAATCGTAAAACTGTCTGTCTATCACTTGCATTGCAGCTGAAGAGATAATTATGAAAGAAAAAAAATGTCTATATGTTTATGTCTTATTCAGAGAAACTGAGAGGTGAAGTGGAACAAAATCTCTGTACGTGTGAAGCTCAGCTTGGTTTCCAGACGAGAATATTGATAGGTATTCAGGAGCTGAGCAGAAAACATATCCTTTTCGATGGTGTGATTTTGTCACCAGTCCAATGTCATTTTCAGTTGCCGTCCGGTCACATGGTAAATATGATTAATCGAGGCGGGTACCGTTAAAATTTTTATGATGTCCTGTGCTGTACAGCTACTTAGCTAAACCTTATTACCTACGGTCAAATGTATTCATTGATGAATCAACTATTTAGTCAGTGGTTCGTAATTATTTCCTGCCATGCACCCTCTTGGAATTGAAATACTATTGAGAACCTGATAAGCTGGAGGCTTGTTATCATTCAAGCATTACAGTAGTAGTCCACTGCTGTAAGGCCTGAATGCCCCCAGGGGGGCCCGCCCCACTATTTGAGAAGTATTGCATTAAGTGGTATCTGTGCCACCTTTGGTTTAACAGGTTTTAAACAGGAGTGTGCAAAGTAAAAGTCCAATGTTGACTGCTAAGGTGATGAGATATTAAATCTTCATGTTATGAAAAATAATTGTGGCAGTTTAGGCCATTTCCATAGTATTTTCTAAATATTATAATGTTCTATTAAAACGTTTTTTTCCTTAACTGACATTTTACTCGATGAACTTTCAGACAAACTGGATTTTTTTGAAGACCAACAGCAGTACTAACGACTATTAAGATAGTTGTTTACTACGAGAATTGTATTTTTTTACCTTTATGTTCTGTTGATGTTAATTGTGTGTTTATACGCGTAGATGAATGTTGTTGTTTTTATACACTTTGTATAAAATATTTGTAATAACTTTTTCTAATTTTTTTCCTTTGTTAAATTAAAACACAAAAGCATTGTTACTTTTTCTGTGTTTACTGTATTCTTACAAAATGAATAAATTACATTGTTAAATCTAATTGAATGGACAAAAACTATGTGTTTTTTTTTGTTTTTTTTTAAAGAACTCAGGTTTCTCAAATGGATCCATGGGGAAAAAAACAGCCAGCCGACTCTGGCTTAGTTGTTGGCACTTTTGTCTTTTTATATAAAATAATGTAGGGTAGGGTTCTGTCAAGTCATAGGCTTTTAATAGAATACTTTGCTTTATATGTACAAAAATGTTTTGTACGTTAGTGACTGTCTAATATACAGTATATATATATGTGTGTGTGTGTGTTACAATTTTGATAATTTTATATTTTTGTAGGAGCTTTTTAAAATCTTTTTGGTAACCGGCCTTTACAAGGTTTTTTTTTAAGGATTTTTATGGAAAATTATAGTGTTAAACGGCAGAAAGGCTTCAAAGTGGCGTTTTTTGTAGTTAGATTACCACATCTTTGACGAAGGTGTCGGTTTCCGGTTCTACCTTGTCTACAAATGCAGGTTGGTAATACGTCACTCTATATACATCAGTGATTTAAACTCACCGACAGTTCAACAGTTGTGTACCGAAAAAAGTATCCAATGTCATTCAGATGGTCTGAAAACTTTTATTTATTTACCGCAATTAATTGTGGCCGACATGGGACTTTTGTCGTGTATATACAGTTTAGCACGGAAAGAGGAAGAAGAAAAACTACGGATCCAAGGAAACAACATAACTTCCGGTTTGATGTTGCCACGGGAGATGAAGAAAAGCTAAAACTACCGTAGGGCAAAATTCTAAAAAAGGAATCCATTATTTATAATATTGTTGGGTCAGTTTTCATTAGGTGTGTGGCAGTAAAGGTTCGAACGTTAGTCGAGCTGCCACCCACGTTTACAGTATAATAGGGTTTATAGCGTTGGTCCGCTGACTTACTAGTACAACTGCGAGCCTGCTAGCAGTAGAGGCTAACTTCTGTTTTAGGGATGAAATGTGATTTTCTCTGTTATGATTACCGATAGAACTGCGCTGTTCAAATAAATAGAGGGGTGTGACGGCATCCCCACGAGGAGCACGATGTTTATTTACCTGAGCAAGAAGGTAGGTGTTTCTTCTGCCTGGATACCTGTAGAACCTCACGTCAGAATAAATGTAAAAACCTGGCTACCATTCCTCGTGCTTTCTGTGTAGATTGCTATCCCAAACAACATTCATTTAAAATGCGTTTCCTGGAACAAAGACCAAGGCTTTATTGCCTGTGGAGGAGACGATGGTCTTCTGAGAGTACTAAAGCTGGAAAGTCAGACAGGTGGGTTTCACGTCACATTCATTTTAAATTAGTTTGTGCCACAAATAATGGGGAAAAAAGTTAAACATTAAATACAACAAAGAAGGAAAAAAACTAACCAAAAACCAGCAGCGCATGCTGTAATAAAAGGTTATGATGATTATAAATGAAATATAATTTTGAAATTTTGAAAGATTAAAATAAAACCATCATCCATCACTCCATGCCTGTTGGAGGTAATTTTATCTTGCATCTGCCAAATTGACATTAACAGAAAACCAGGAGTGCACAAATTTGTGCATGCTCTGAAGGCTTGGGAAAAAATAACTTTTGCATAAAAATAATATCAATTTTCACTGGAGTAAAAAAAAAACAACATTTCAAAGACTTTTTCTGTTTTTTTCCTGTCTGACTTCTCTCTTTTATCATGGTTTGTAAACAGATGATGTTAAACTTAGAGGACTTGCTGCACCCAGTAACCTGTCGATGAACCAGACATTGGAGGGACACAGTGGTAAGATTCTGTTCTATGCAACAGAAGGCTCAGAAAAACAATTATTTAAGAAAAGGAATCTAATTAATATGTGAGAAATATTATATTTTGAAAAGAAAAAAATAGGTTACCAATTATTACTGTATTACTTTATTTTAGTGTTTTTTGTTTTGTTTTTTTATAATTACTGTTCATTTATTTCTGTAATTTCTAAACACTGTCTCTTGCAGGTTCAGTGCAGGTGGTAACATGGAATGAACAGTATGAAAAGCTGACGACCAGCGACCAGAATGGACTCATCATTGTATGGATGCTTTATAAAGGTAGTACATTCAAGTGACATCAATCAAACAATGATATAATACTGTTGGAGCTTTAACTCTAATTCTCCAAACTTTTCCATGTATGATAACAATGGTGAATTGTAGCGTTCCTCAGCACAAAATGATGATACTGCCAAGAGCTCAATGTTTATTCAGCCAGGAGTACATATATTCATAATATTCACTGCCTACACTTGTAACTCCTCTCCCTCTTAATCCAGCTTCACACACCCCACACACGCCCTCCAATTTATAGGCATGTGGTTGTCATGGTAACCACATGAGTGACAGGCTTCTCAGCCACAGCAACACGTTCACTGGCAAACAATTGGGAAAACATAGTACTGTTACATGTTATTCTTAACCAATTGTTTTTACATTTACACTTACTAACACTGAGTTTTATTTTTCTCAAAAATATTAATATTGGACAATGTAAATACTGAAAAAACCTAATTTTTGTTCATCAGGCTAAAAGCAGCCTAATAATTTTGTTGGTCAGTGTAAATCTTCTCATTGGTGAGTCAGCAGTCTGAGAGGGCTTTTGAAAGTTATTTTTCAGGAAAGAAATTATCATGGGAATTAAGGATATCTTACATGTTAATTAAAAAAATGACATCAGATTGTTTTTGTTTTATAGATTTGGCTGATTAAATTTGTGTTTGAGGAACAGTTTGATGAAAAGCTGGAAGACTGTGTAAATAGTTCAGTAATGTTTGTGTGGCACGAAAGAGAGAGTAAATACCCAAAAGAAAAACCCAGCAAAAACCAGCCAGATTGTTATCATGAACATCAGTACTAACATCGGCTACTGTATGTCTCTAGAGCTTCTCCATTTTTAAGCCATAAAATTCATATGTTTTCTCTTCAAGGACTACAAATTTCTCTCTCTCAAACTCTGGCTTTTTGTAATGTCAGCTTCTTCAAAATCTGCTTTTCAAGTTGGGTGTAAATTCAGTGAAACAAATAAATAAAAAACACATTTATAGATAATAATGGGTGTTAATATAAATCAAGGTTAAGTGATAATGAACATCAAGATCAAACTTTGTGGGTGGTTTGTTCAATAATAATAATAAATATCTCCGGAACACATACGTTTCATTGTTTTTTAAAACTTGGCATTTGAATGTTCTGTTGTTTTTTTATTAATATTATTATTTACGCTATTCCAGGTGCATGGTACGAGGAGATGATAAACAACCGGAACAAGTCTGTTGTTAGGAGCATGAGTTGGAACTCAGATGGTCAAAAGATCTGCATCGTGTATGAGGATGGAGCCGTCATAGTAGGATCTGTAGATGGTAAGAAATGTTGCCTTAAATCGTTATCGCTTCCTTTTTTTTTATTGACAGATTGCCTAAATACTAAACTCTTTTTTATATATAGGTAATCGTATTTGGGGAAAGGAGCTTAAGGGAAACCAACTTGCACATGTAGCATGGTCACCTGACAGCAAGATCCTCCTGTTTGGCATGGCTAATGGGGAAGTCCAAATCTATGACAATCAGGGAAACTTCATTGTGAGTACATGTCAGCATTCATATGTAGTATTATAGTATTTAGGAGAGGTCCAAGAGTATATATATATATATATATATATATATACGTCCAAGAGTATATAGATATACAGTGTATATCCATATATCCAAAGACAGTTGCTCAGCCTAAAAGAATAAACATATTAAACTTTTAAATAATTTTTAATTATTAAACCAATTGACTAATGCATTTTCCTTTCCTGTTGAACGTTTGAAACTGTCTTTGTTTTAGATGAAAATGACCATTAGCTGCCTGAGTAACACAACCGGGGCTGTCAGCATAGCAGGTATTCACTGGTACGCAGGAAGTGGAGGCTATGTTGAGCCAGACTGCCCATGTCTCGCTATCTGTTTTGACAATGGAAGATGCCAGATAATGCGCTACCAGAATGATGAAAGTAGGAAAGAGACACTCCTAAAGATATTTTTATACTACATCATTTAGTTATCAGAAATGAGAGGCTAAGCTGCTGTCTTTCTTTTTGTGCAGACCCAGTGTGCATTGACACTATGATGAATGTGGTGAGTATCCAGTGGAATCATTGTGGCAGTGTCCTGGCCGTGACTGGTTCTCTCAGATCTGCGAATATGGAGAAAGAGTTTAATGTTGTGCAGTTCTATACTCCATTTGGAGAGGTAAGTGGAAAGGTACTTTACAATAACTAAAAAAAAAGGCAACCATAAAAATCCTCTAAAAAAGATACTTTTAAAAAACAAAAAAAAAAAACAACGATCCATGTACAGGGGCTTCTCCGTTTAAGATATCCTCAGTTGATGACGTTTTCCACACACGGCATTTCGCCGTTACGTCACCACACCCCCTACGTATTACCTTAGGAGGTTAAGTTTATGTACACCAGTGGTACACCAAATTTTTTGGAACTTTTTGTCCTTCATTATGGCTCACAAGCCTACACGTCTTGTGCTTGTCAGATCAAATACTAGAGGACAGTAAGGACTTCAACAACACACTTTCCATGTGCTCTTCATTGCTGTTCACTGTGACTAACTCCATGTTAAAGCAATAGTTTCCCGACCAACAGGTTCTCTTCATCTACATATGGTAATTTGTGATATTTAAGATATAATTGTATGCAATTTATGGCTCAAAGAGAAAATTTGAGTTACAATGCTGCTAGGAACTGACCCCGATGTAAGTTGATGACCCCTTATATATATATATATATTTTTTTTTTTTTGGAAATACTACAATCACATACTATTTTCAAGTAACAGCTTTTTAAAATAACATGTTTCACCATCTTGCACTGTTTAGTGGAACTTGCTATACATGTTCAATTAAAATAACCCAATGTTGGTGTTCAACCAGCATCTGAGAACTCTCAAAGTTCCTGGAAAGCACATGACTGGAATTGGCTGGGAGGGAGGAGGACTACGCATTGGCCTCGCTGTGGATTCCTACATCTACTTTGCAAATATAAGACCGGACTACAAGGTATATGGATTACCGCTGTGTCCTGTTGAATTTAAATTTGAATTTAAAATTGGAGAAATAACATGTAGAGAGTCAGGGGAAAAAGTCTGGGCTGTCAAAAGTCAGTAACTCAAGGGACCAAAACACAGTCTAAGTTATTTATTCAGTTTTAAGCAAATTTTCAATAATTGTCTTCTATACATTTGCCTTGGCCTTTGGTTTAAAATGTAAATGACCAAACAACACACATAGAAAACATTGGAAAAGTAAACTTTGGAATGGAACTTCACCCGTCTTTGTTTCCTTACAGTGGGGCTACTGTTGTAATACAGTGGTGTATGCCTACACAAAGCCAGAGCGTCAGGAGTATTGTGTTGTTTTCTGGGACACTAGAAACAATGACAAATTCGTCAAATATGTCAAGAGCTTGATGTCCATAACAACATCAGGCGACTTCTGTATCCTGGCTAGTAAAGTGGATGAAACCCAGCCTCAGGTACTACTGTAAATATGTTTGACCCAAACAAGACCTAATGACTAATTCATTGACTAGATTAAGTGAGTAAAATTTAAATACATTTAATCTTGTTTCTCATTGTTACCACACAGGAAGATGCTGAGTTAGAGTCTGGGAGTCATCTAAGGGTAACGTACACAGAAGTACAAAAAGTAAGGACCAAGTAGCTCGATGTAAAACGTCTAATCAGATAAACCATGTTGTTCTACTTTGTTGTTTCCAGTACGTGTTGATTCTGTGCAACTCCATTGGGACTCCTCTGGACTCAAAATACATTGATATTGGTGAGTGCACGCAGAGCAGTGTAATTCCATTCCATTTGTGGTTTCATTTTTTTTCATTTTTTCATTCCTCAGAGCAGAGGTCCATAACAACCTCCTTGTGGCACAACAGTATGTTGGCAAAATTCTTAGTTTACCTTAAAGCTGGCTCTTCATAATGTGAGATATGTGGGCTCGTGCATATGTGGATGTGAAATCAGTTATTGGCAGCCTGCCTTTTCAGGGCCAAATGTACATATTTCATAGCAACTTTGTATTGTATAGCAACCAGACAGTGAGCTTGGGTCATCTTCTCATTTCACATATATGCAGAATTCCGTCTCTACAAAACACACAGTCAGTTGTTCTTACCTCATGAGTGAAAGTCTGCAAGATGTCCTTGAATATGGTAGATAAAAATGTGCTTTAAACTTATTTACCTTTGGTTATGTGCCATATGACCACACGTAATTTCATTTACCTTCGACATATGTCTTTTTCTTTGGCATATATTTGTTGTAAAGTCACACACAAATCATCCTAAGTCAGACAAATATGTGTGTGTCCTGTCTGAGGAAGGGTATAACACAAGACCAAACAGGATTGACGTTTAATAAACAGTGGTCTAACAGATCAGTGTCAAAACTTTAATGTCATGTTCTTACATTGTCTTTGGTCAGAACCACTGTTTGTCACGGTGACCAAGACTCATGTGATCGCTGCATCCAAAGAGGCTTTTTACCTATGGCAGTACAGAGTGGCAAAGAAACTTACTGCCCTGGAGGTCAATCAAGTCACCAAAATAAAGAAGGAGGGAAGAGAGAGGTGAGTTGTTGTTTTGTTACGAGTTGGATTTATATTTCTGGACAAATGTAATGTCCAGAAGGTGCATTAGGACAGAGAAAGAGTGCCCACATCCGAGCCTGCCCCCTCTACTCAGTAGCTTACGGAAAATTACAGGCAGGCCAGAAGACCTGTCTCAGCGAGTAGGTGGTAAAAACCTGACATCATTGGCTCGCTTTTGCAGTGTGCAATGTTTTTACTGACATTTCTATGAAAAGGAGTCATTCATATCATAAAACCTCACCAGGGTGCCAGACTCACTTTGACCCATTGTTCCTCCAGGCCTGCCCTGGTATTAAAACCACAGGTCACATCAGAGGAAAGGGCAACTGTCTGTTGAACTATCTGTCTTCTTTGTTCCCACTTTCTTCCCCTTTTAGAGTGTATCACATTGACAGCAGTACGTTAGGAAGCAGTGACAGCAGTCCAGATTTCGCAAAGGCTTTCACTGTAAGTAACATAACACTGAATGAGAATGTCTGTTTTTTCAAGCCCTGACAATAGGTCCATTGTGATGTTTTTTTTTTTTTTGTTTATTAGACATCATTGTGTTTATAAAGCCTCCTTCATTTAAAATGAAAAAAAAAAATTTTTTTTGAAACCTTTCCAAAAATTTGTCATGCAGTGTTAAATAACCAACAAAGAAATACATCTATTAAAAATGTCATGTGTTTTATCAGGCAACACGAGATCCCATCTGCTCTATAACCGCCTCAGATAAGGTCCTGATTGTGGTACGTACGCTCCCTGTGTTTACATGAAAATACTCTGCATATCATCATAAACGAAATGCCACTAATGAGCCAGTTTTTGTGTTGTTTAAAGGGCCGTGAGTCTGGCAGCATCCACCGATACAGTCTTCCTAATGTCGACCTTATTCAGAAGTACACTTTGAACAACAGAGCCTATTATCTGTCTGTGAACTGCAATTCCAGGTAAGAACAACCCTGGAACATTGGCTTTGGTGGAGGCCATAGTTAGGCCACAGAATGCTTTGATGAGGATATGCTAGTGGAAAGTTAGCCTGGGTTTCTCGGTACATTAGAAGTTGACTGGGGCAGATTGACAGCGTAGACTGCTTTGTTATCCAACTTAATTCTCTCTGCACTGGCGCCACCACCCAGAAAAGAAACACTTTCCTCAAACTCTCTTCTAATGCTGTCCTGCTTTTATCAGATTTATGGCTGGCTCATGCCAGATGCAGCCAGGAAAGCTCCAGACAATGTAGCGCCACTTGATGCCTTTATTTGTTTGTTTGTTTTCTGTTTTCTAGTCGTCTGGCGATAATCGACATTGCAGGTGTACTGACGTTGTTGGATCTGGAGGTTCGTGCCTCTTCAGACAACAGCTCTGAGAAGCAGTCATCTGCAGGAGATCCGTCTAAGTTTGAAAGGAAGGACGTGTGGGACATGAAATGGGCCAATGACAACCCTGATCTGTTTGCCATGATGGAGAAGACGAGAATGTATGTGTTTAGGAACTTAGATCCAGAGGTGAGTGCTTCAGTGTGGTATAGCAAATATGACATTTTCTTTTTGTAATGGAACTAAGACGTGTGGCACTTGGCATTAAAAACAGGAGCCCATCCAGACCTCTGGTTACATTTGCAACTTTGAAGACCTGGAAATCAAGTCTGTGTTGCTTGATGAAATCATGAAGGTAAACCAATGTTAATGACATTTCGTATACATTTGAACTTCTTTTAGATAAAGTCATTTAAAATTTGTATTCATCCCAGAGTGGGGGAATTAAATTATCGATCATCAGTCTCTTCAGTATGTTGATGACCACCGCTCTAGCAACACATTGTAAACAAACTGATGTGAATGTGAGGTTAGCGTGAATGTTGCTCTTTTGGCAGCTCGTGCTACGTTAGCTGGGATTTTAGGATAGACGTCTGTTTTACTGTCTTTGATGAGTTCCTCTCACAGTGTCAAAGAGAACGTTCTCCGTGATATTCTAACCATTGGGTTTCATTGCAGGACCCAGAGAGGCCCAACAAAGACAACCTCATCAACTTTGAAATTCGCTCACTGAGAGACAGCCGAGCGCTAATTGAAAAGGTGGGGATCGAAGAAGCCTCTCAGTTCATCGAGGACAATCCTCACCCGAGACTCTGGTAAAAACACACTGCTGCACAACATCAATATTTTAGGTGGTCATTTTCCCAGCTCCTCTCTGTTTTGTTGTAGTTGTACTCAGGAGCACCTCTTTGTACTGCTTTGTCCTCAAAGTGCCGTATTGGTACTTGAAGCAACTACGAATGGCTTAATACAAGTTTTTCTTGTCCGATACTGCAACTTGGAGTATCTGCAGATGGCGATATGAGTCAGATACCTTCTTTTATTCTGCCTTGGCTTAGGTGATAGTGTCCCTGTTTACGGCATGAAGCACAAAGTTAAGTTGAGCATTTACTGTAGGCTTGGTTATCTGATCGAACGGCCTATAGTTGTTGTTTTAATGTTTAATGTTTAATTATTTTTATCTGAGCTTAAATGCTCATGTTATTGATATGTCATGTATTAAGTGATCTGTGGTAGAAAGTTAGGGACCGTGGTGTAAATCACAACTGTTGGAGTGAACTGCCAACTTCCAGCCCCACTAAAAACACAGGCTGACCTAAACAACATAGTCTTCTACTTCACCACATTAGAGAAGCATTAGAATCAAGTCAAATGTTCACCTCATCATAGCAAGCGACCCACAGTGTTCTCTTCATTTGATCTGTGAGGCGTCTACTGGCGGAGGCAGCTCTGCAGAAGCTGGATCTAAAGACAGCAGAACAGGCCTTTGTCCGATGTAAAGACTACCAGGGCATTGAGTTTGTCAAACGGCTGGGAAACCTGCAGACTGAACCCATGAAGCAGGCAGAGGTCGCAGCCTACTTCAGCAGGTTTGAGGAGGCTGAGCGCATGTACCTGGATATGGATCGAAGGTACGTTTAACTGTAACTAGGCTAAAAGAGATTTAAATATCTTTTCCTTCTTTTCTAGCATTTGGTAATGCTAGACATTTGTTTCCACTGCAGGGACCTTGCTATCAGTCTGCGAATCAAGCTGGGAGACTGGTTCAGAGTTCTTCAGCTTCTGAAGACTGGCTCTGGGGACAGCGACGATGCTTTGCTGAAACAGGCGTACAATGCAATTGGAGACTACTTCGCTGACAGACAGAAGTGGTAAAACATTTTAAGAGCATACTTTTGTTCAGAATTTTATATATATATACAGTATATTCTAAGTGTAGTCTTTATATATATATATACAGTATATTATAAGTATAGTAAGAATATTGTACACTGTATATACAGAAATTGCAGTTATTGCATGATTATTATTACATGAGTTGCACAGATGATGAACAAAACATACATCTGCACCAAATGAATGTGGTTTTAATACAGGAGATGCAGGGGTTTCACACACACACTTAGACAGAGAGAAAGATCTGTTGTTGTAACAATACTGTTTTCTTTAAGTCTTTAAAGACCTATATTTGTGGTCATTATGTTCCAGGCGAGCTGTGATCATGCACCTGGGTGTTGTGGATGTTGATAATGTAATTTTACCATTATGAATGAACACATTTGTTTCTAATCACAAGGGTAAATGCAGTGCAGTACTACTTACAAGGTCAAAACCAGGAGAGGCTGGCAGAATGTTACTACATGTTAGAAGACTATGATGGTTTGGAGAAGCTGACCGCCATATTGCCAGAAACCCATAAACTCCTGCCAGTAAGTAAAACAGTTCAAATAACTTTTTATTGACACACATAAGCGCTACCCAAGATACAGTCTGTTTGGATATTGAAATATAATGAAAAACAACAATTGTGATGCATGTCATGCCCCAGTTGCACGTTACATAGACCTGCGGGTATTTCAAAGCAGCAGTGGTATTTTATATTAACGTTTTGGAAGTTTCTATGAACAACGTACCATATTTTACAGAACTTAAATTGCCCCCTCACTTTTAAATTCATTACCTGCTGCAATCACACATTTGAAAAAATCAGAGTAGTTTAGCAGTTAAAGGGAGTATTTGTCACGACTACAACCCACTCTAAAGCATAAATAGACATAACTTCAACATGTGGTCTGTTGCAGGAGATTGGTCAAATGTTTGCCACCGTGGGCATGTGTGAACAAGCTGTAAAGGCCTACTTGAAGTGCAACCAGCCCAAAGCTGCTGTTGACATATGTGTCCATCTGAATCAGGTAAGAGAGATAGACAGAGAGAGAGAGAGTAGACCATTGGCGCCCGTGTATCTGTGTGAAACTCTGAACATACCTGTGAGTTTGTCTGTAAAACTCTGCCTCTGGTCCACAGCAGTCTGAACGGCACCTGCTGTCCTTCCCTCCTCCGCTTATTCTCAGTAATATGTAACCTGGGCCTGTGAGTGCATGTCATAATATTGCAGTGGGCGTTTGCCTCTGACGTTTAACTGGAGAATAAATAAGAGAATAAACTATGGCATCTTTCACGTTTCATGCATGTCACAGCTTAAACAGTTTTAAATACACTCAACTTTGCATTAAATACGTGTATCTTCATTCAGAATAAACCAGTAGCTGTCAGTTTTGGAGTTTGAGTTTTGTGATATTTCCAAAGATCAAGAGGGTACATTTCAGATCAAAAGTTTGAGATGTATCAATTGGCAAATGGAAATTTTCAGCATGCTCTGTGTGGGACGGCAGGAGAGGAAGCTCACACTCCTGAGCTTAAGCTAACATGTCATTTGTTGTTTTTTTCTTTTTTTCTTTTTTCATATTTTAGGAATGGGACTCTGACATAAGTCCCTATATATATATATATTCAGTATATATTCATTATTTATTGATACTCTGATTCTCATCATGACTGTCTGTCGTGAATGTCTCTTCTTCAGTGGAACAGAGCAGTGGAACTGGCCCGGACTCACAACATGAAGGAGATAAAGCCACTTTTGTCCAAATATGCTTTACACCTTCTGGAGAAAAATAAAAATTTAGAGGCAGTGGAACTGTACCGTAAAGCCCACCATTTCTTAGATGCGGCCAAGCTCATGTTCAAGGTAGGTGTCAGAACATTAATGTTGTTTATCAGGTAGAAGAAAGAGCGCAGCATATGGTGAACGGAATCATCGTGATGTAAAATGTTGTTATAGCTCACTCTGCTGGACAAGTGTAGTAATCGAACGCATGTAAATACACCTATGAATAAGGAACATGCAGTTGGGTAAATTGTGAGTACATGATTTAAATAACAGTTAGAGTGACTGTAAAAAAGTTTTTTGTTTTTTTTTAAATAATTATCTAGAGTCTGGTCTTTTCAAATGTTCTTAAGTACTCGAAAAATAATTTCAACTCATAGTTTAATAAGTGGAAAACTGGATTATAATATTATTATTATACTTTATATTTACTTTACTTTATATTATTATTAATATCTAATTTAAATGATAAACAAATCAGTAAAAACAACTGCCCCCTGCTGTCTTTAGATAGCAGATGAGGAGGTGAAGAAAAGAACCAGACCTCTACGGGTGAAGAAGCTGTACGTATTGGCTGCACGTCTTGTGGAAGATTATCACGAGCAGGTGAAAACATCACAGCAGAGCAAATCCAAAGGAAAGAAGTCTGAGGTACGTATGAAAAAACAATACAATATTATTATTTTTAAAAAGTTCTGTACAATAGTTATAGTACATCTAAAAAATCTAAAAAAAGAAATATCTTCTGGCCCTCACATGGCAGGAAATGAAAATAGTGGACAATAGTGTAAGGTCACTGATGTAAAGTGACCCTGGAGTCAAATAAGAAGAAAGAACGTAATGTTTAATGACATTGTTTTCAGGCTTTAGGTCAACCCAACACTTTTTTTTGCATATTGGCCATTATATGGCTCTAGCACTGTATGAGTTGCTGCCACCTAGTGACGGAAGGCTTGTTATCATTCATGCATTACAGCAGTGGTACACTTATGTCTAGTGTGCCATAATCTATTGTAAGACCCTCACGCCCGCCCCTGGCCTCACCTCACCATGGCCCCCCCAGAGAGGCCTGGCCCACTATTTGAGAAGTACTGCTGTAGCAGTAGAGATGATCTGATTGTTTTGTGGCTGATTCCACAACATTTGATTTTTTATTTTAACATTTCCGACCATCTTCAGTTCAACATCATTCATAACAAAGTTCTTGTTGAATAAAATGAGGTTCTAAATGTGAGTGGGTTCCTATTCACCCAACTTTCTGACAATTGGGCAGACGTATTTTCAAACCAACAACATATTAGAACCAGTCAGAATCACCTGATTCTGCTCACTGCTTGGTGCATCTCTATTGGATATGTGGTTGCAAAAGAAAAGTTAAGGCATTTATTTCCTAACAGAAGAGCATTTGAAATCCATATATATTATATATATATATATATTTATTTAATCACTGTGTCTTTTCTGTTGTATTTAAACATCATGGGAGGCAGATTATACAAGGTGCAGCTCCATTTCCACAACAAAACATTTTTTAATTATCTTTTTAAAAAGGCAAAGTCCGCACTTGCTGGGCTGCTTGAGGAGGATGCGTCGTCTCTAGACAATCGTATTGTGGATGACGCCTGGCGTGGAGCTGAGGCTTACCACTTTTTTCTACTGGCTCAGAGACAGCTCTATGAAGGATACATGGAGAACGCCATGCAAACAGGTAACAGGTTACTGCGCACCAAGGCTGCTGCAACAAAATGTGTGTTTTGTTTTGTAATGCGTTGTTGGTATAAGATAGGGGTCACCGACCTTTTTGAAACTGAGAGCTACTTCAAGGGCACTTCGTAATGCGAAGAGCTACTTGTTTAATACAGACATTAATATTAATTAGACACTCTTTTTATCATCGTCATTGCACCCATTTAAATATCATTCAAAAAGCAGTAAGAGTACAATTTCTGGCCTTCTTGTTGACTAGATTTATTTTTAGAACCTCCCCCATGGGCACCTTAGGTAGTCCACGGGGGCTACCAGGTGACCTCAGGCACCAAGTTGGTGACCCCTGGTATAAAGCTCTCCTCACTTTCTGTTCACCTGGTTGTGTTAACAATGCCAAAAGTTTTAATTTTCCCTGAGTTTGACTTGAAATAATCGTCTGTTAATGAGAAGAAAATAAAACAGACTACTGTTTTTCCTGCTTTGTATCCTCTCTGTGTTTTGGGTTGAATTCCAAAACACATACTGCATGTCACAGTTACCTACCTAGCACTGCCTCGCAGCATATTTATAGACCCAGCAGAAAAACTAGTAGTCTGCTGAATAAATGACCTATTGTGGTATTTCTTTGAAAAGCATAGATGCGAGGACAACTGTACTTATGTTTTAGATCAGTGTTAAATCTGTCACATCCGATGGCTGATCCCCTTGGGATCTGTACTCCTCTGTGTTGTTCTATTGCAGCCATGCACCTGTGTGAGTACGAAGACATCATCCCACCAGTGGAGATCTACTCTCTGCTCGCCGTATGTGCGGCAGCAAACCGTGCGTTCAGCACATGCTCACAGGCCTTCATCAAGCTGGAGTCCCTGGAGTCCCTGGAGCCTGAACAGCACCAGGCCTACGAAGACCTGGCCCTGGAGATCTTCACTAAACACTCCCCGAAGGACAGCCGGGTGATGGAGCGGCCAAGATCATCAGGGGGGTGAGCTTCATGGTCATTCGACGACCGTTCCTTACTAGTAGTTAAGTAGCACATGAAAATAATAAGGGTAAAAGAATCAAAAGTTTGGGACTGGGTTATAAATAGATGTAATTCTGTGCGGTTATAGGTTTAGCTCTCTGTGGTGTTAAATATGAACCAGGCAACAACCAATGAACTAGTAAGCAGCTGCCCTTTATATCTCAAACCGAATGAAGTCTTTAAAGAATCCAAAGCCGTGACTGTTTGTTAAGTGTACTGTCATTTGATGCCACTTTGTATCACTGGTTGCTTTTCTTCTTTTAATTTCCTCCAGGCCAGAAGGAAAGGTACCCACATGCATCGTGACTGGGCTGCCCATTCATGAGTACCAGTTCTGGATGTGCAACGTGTGTAAACACTGTGCTCTGGAGCAGGAAATCAGCAAATATAACTGTTGTCCTTTGTGCCACAGTCCAGTGGCATGACGCTCTGCCAGGCATGTTGGGGGGAAAATACATTTCAATCTGTTTTAGTGTAAAATATTACCGTTTTGTAAAGGATTAAACAGAAATAATGTTTGTGTTGTCATTAATGATAGCGTTCTAACGTTGTAACATTTGGTCCTTGTTAGGGATTACCAACCCCTGGTTCGTGGACCCATAACAGTACGTTAGGTCATTTGGTAAAGACAATCCGGTCGGAACCCACCTACTGTACACAAGTCCCTATGTCAGTCACCTACGCTAACACAGTGGTGACATCATAAACCAAGAGATAAAAATGTGAGAAGAGAGTGACCAACACCTGGGAGCCAAAAAGTCCTCACGTGTTTCCAATGTATAGCGTACAAAACCCTGTACTGCGAATAGCGCCGCGTGACAACGCATTCGTCGGCTCTGTGTCGATTAACTGATAGTGGCACACTTTAAGAAAATATTGAAATTCAGACTCATTTGTCTGGCAGCATTTCTTAAGCTGATATTCTGTGTGTGTGTGTGTGTGTGTGTGTGTGTAAACAGGAGTTGTAATTGACACAGCAGAGTCGGTGACACACTCTGATATTAATGAAGAGGTCAGCAGCGCTGCACAGCCGCACCCATTCATCTCAATACCTACTGACCCTGCACTTACTACAGCCTTGCCCTGCAGCATGTGTGTCAGGCTGTAGAAGTCCCGCCCTGCCCTCTGCTGCTGCTGCTGCTGCTGCTGCTGCTGCTGTCGCTGTCCGCGCAGGTCTCACCCGGACACCACGTTAGTGCACACTGAGCAGAGCAGCTGCAGGGTCGAGTCTCCACATGGCTGGGTGAGCTGGTTCTTGATAATATGTTTGTCCAGGGAATGTTTGAAAAGTGTGCTAACTTTGGGTATTTTATGGTTTTTCTGCTTTCTATGTCATTTTATTTTTCAGTTGAAAATCTCGTTCATGCCTGTAGAAGTGTGACATGTCTGACCTGCAATTTGAAACGCTACAGTCTTTATTACAGTGGGTAACACAATACAAGTAAACACTGCTGCCTGTCACAAGCAGCGCAGCCATATTGTCTGTCTGTATAACTACTTCCTCCTGCAGTACAGTTACTTTATTTGTTAAACAAAATGCATAATAAGAACGTTAAGTTTATGAGCTCTGACGTGTGTCTTGAAGATTTTTTTGTTTCTGATGGGCAGATTTACCTCTGACAGTATACCTGTGTACTCGAGGGTCTACACACTTTACATAGTTTTACAAAGTTTACAACAACCCTAATCTAGGAGATAAGCACCAGAAGGTGGGTAAATATTTTAATATTTGTTTTGTAGAAGATTTGATAACAGATTTGAGGAATAAACTCAGGGTTTTACTGTGTAAACAACATTGGAATCCTTCAATAAGACACAAATACTGGCTTTCTATACAAATGAATATATATTTTAGGTTTAACGCAATTTTATGTGTTTACAATCATAAGCTCCAATCTACATACAACACTGCTATTTAACTCATAATTCGGTATGTAGAAAATACATGTTGGCCATCAACTGTTCTTTAAACAACAACAGAATTTACTTTTTCGTTTTCTGTGTATGACCAACATAACAAATGACGATCCTAGAATAATGGCTAATAAAAAGACCAATTTCTTTTTAATAGAATGTTTTAAATGTTTATTCCCCAGTTAAATTACATCACATCAAAACCAGACCAGTGACTGAAGCTGATATCAGTAAGTCACCTTGGCTTTTCTGGCTGGTCGACAATTCAAATGAAGGTGGAACAAATTGTAACCATGCGTCCACTTGAGGTTATGGATCGCAGAATTCTAGATCCAATGTTAAGCCAGTTGTTTTTGTATCTAAGTTCCTTTTGTACACTCATTACATGAACCAGTTCAGATTACCTTGTTCGCCTGAGTTTACTTTATCAAGTATGCCAATATGCATATAGGTTATGCTATTTGGCTAACAAGTTCTTTTACTAAACAAATCATGTGCAGTTAACCATAACTTTAGCCTAACTTTTTTTCCTTTCCGCAGTTAACCATAACTTTAGCCTAACTTCCTTTCTTTGGGCTTCAAGTCGGTTATATTAAAACTAATCATTTTAGTACAGTATGTGTCTCTAAATACATATTTTATTAAATTTGTTTTTTAATCATTCATTTTCTAACTTTTTTTTTCTTTTTAGAAATCCAATTCTTTGCACTAATGTGAATTATCACCTATTCATCACATTGCATGAATGTTTATTATTAGAACATATATTAGAGTACAATGCAAATAATGTATGTATACAATACAGTAAAAAAGACCACCATGGTCATTGTAGTAGTGAAGTATCCCACGGTTCCAAACTACTATTGATACATTCATATAATAATGTATGTAATTACAGCATAGAACCTGCACTTTGTATATGGGACGCACATGTAATCAGGTCATAATTATGACAGAAAACACAGGAGGTGTAGGTAA